ACTTTCCTACAATTGATATTTGATTCATGTTAAACCTGTTTTCTTAAAAACAAATTACTGAATGATAAATCTTTTTGTAAAGAGTGTTTCAGCATTTTACAGTTATTTAAAAATAATTATAGTAAAGCACAAAGCAAATGTTATGAATACATTTCCAGTACTGTTTATGCTGGTTATACCATTTATATGCGTATAACATAAGGTCTTTGCAAGAAACTATTTTTTTCAGTTTTTGATTCAGAGTAGGTTTTGCAATATCTTCCTCTTCAGCAATACTTCCCACACATTCAACAAAGCCAAACAAGTTGCTGTATAACCTCGAATCATTAGCCATCTCTGCATGATATGTAAATTAGGGTGATACAGCTGTCTACTTACACTCTGGTGATCTAGAAGCATTCATTGAGTCATGGTTAAGGAGTGCCTACTAAAAGACAATACCCGTTCCTCAGAATGGTAAGTTCTAATCTATAGTGAATTAGACTCTCATGTCCTATTGTAACTTCTAAACAATTATACTCTTTACAATTGTAATTATAACAAAGGATGGAATTAATATATATTGTCTATTAGTGAACAATGGTCAAACTAAAAGATATGCCTAACTATATGGCATCAACAATATGAAAAATATCAAAAATATTTTGTTGTTTTTGAATCATCTGTACCTTGAAAACTGATTTGAAGATGGTTAATTAGACTGCTTATTACATGACACAATAAGGTTTCCAGTATTTTAACTTTCTTTTTTTAATTGAAAATACCAATGATTTTTGAGTGTGCAGGCATTGCTCTATTTATACTCTTTTTTCCAAATAAAATTTCTCTAGCTGTTCCCAATTGTTTGAATTGCAAAGTCTGAGCTTAAAGCAGCATGCAGTGTTGCTGGTCACAGCCAGTAACAATGTCTAATAAAATGGAATAGATCTCTATTGGTGTGTTGATGGATATTATTTTATGTTATATAACGTGTCATTTTATTTTAGCTGTTAGCCTGCCTTTAAATTCTTTTCTTATTATAATATTTATCTTGCTACCAACTAGCCATATAATCAACCGATTGAATACATTTTAGACAATATATGTCATAAGTGAACAAAACTTTAAAAATAATTATATCATCTTCCTCTTCCATTCTTACCTCCACGGTTTCCTATATAGGAGATTCTGAGACAAAAATAATTTCTCTTCTTGAAGCTATCAGATTTAGCTGCATTTCTATTGTAATCTATCTTCTGTTTTTCTAATATTTCATTTTCCCACCGTGTTCTATGCTGCCAGTATTTTAAAACTGTGCTTTGAATAAAACTTCTTCCTTTGCCTGTGATAAGCCCCAGGAAGCAGGTATGTAAGAGTGTAAGCACATTGTGGGCACGTCCCCACAAGCACGCACGTGCAGAGGCACACATTTCCTGTGGGACAAATAGTAGCACATATTTGTGCCACTGTTATTTGTCCTTGGGCACACTCCTGAATACATGCTCCAGCATATGGCAAAGAGTGGGGTGGGCATGGCTGAGGCTAGCACTTATGATGACCCCAACAGCCTTTCTTGGGGTCCTGGGGGTTTCCCAGGGCAGCAGCGGCACTGAGACGGCCATCCAGAGCCTGCCCAGAACCAGAGCATGGCTCTGGCCAAACAAGCTCTCGTTTCTGGTGGCTCACACTGCTGCCACATCTGCTGAGCTGCTTTTTTCAGTGGTGGGCTTTTGGCACTGGGACACACCAGGATCTTCCCGCTTGCTCTACAGCAGCTGAAGATTCACCGTCCGGCCCTACAGTTGGCTGCCTATGGATGTGGCTTGGGCATGTCCAGTGACTTCTCCACCACTGGCCTTCAGTCCCTTTCCATGGACTAGATTCTTTGGGACTTTCTCTGCCAGGAAGTGGCCCTTCCTCCTTGACACAGAAAGTCTTAGTCAAAGAAAATGAGCAGTAAAAAAAAAAGAGTGCAAAAAATAAAGAATACCCAAAAAAAGGAATGCAAGCAAAACAACAACAGGATACCTCTCCTCCTGTCCTCCCCTCCAGGAGGAGGAGGGAGGGGTGTAACTTGACAGACAAGGGGACCCTGATCCCCACTATCCCTGCCCTGGTGGTGACCCAGCTCCATGGGTGGTGCATCACTCTGACACCATACAGCATCTCCTGCAGCCAGGCTCACACAGCCCGGTGCTGGCTTCCCCCTGCTTTCTTCCTGGCACTTTGCCCATGCCCATGCACTTTAAACCCTGCATGATGGCATGCAGGGTTGACATCATTGGCTGGGCACTGCATAGCCAGATGGACAGTGTACTTAAAAAGTGATGCTGTGATGACACATTGTGGCTTATCCAGGCTCGCCCTCTCTATCAGGTAAGTTTCCCCTGTCCCACGTTGTTCTCTGCCATTTTCCATCAGGGCTCAACAGGGCTCTTGGCGGGGCTGGGTGGATGTGCTTGGTCCTCACCGCCACAGGTACATACATTCAGGGAGGTTAGATTTAGTTAAAAATGGCCACCCAATCTAAGGTAAGTCAGGATGGGGCAACTAGTGGCGGAGCTTGTGTGCATCAGGGGGTCAAGCAGGCTCTAGGTGGGGATTGCGGGAATCAGGGTCTGTAGGCAGGGTTGTAGTGGGGAAGTGGGTCCAGGGGTCCACAGGAGGGATCTGGGCATAGGGAGGGTAGCACAGTTCACTGGTGGGACTTGGAAGGATCAGGCAGCTTGCAGGGTCCATGGGGGACTTGCAGGGATGGGAGAGCCCCTCTCTTCCCCAGGACCAGGGGCTATGTTTAGCCTCCTGACACCCCATCCCCAAGATGAATGATATCCCCCTGGCAAATCAACCACCCTCCCATGCCACCTGGTTCTTCCCCCACTCTGAATTACTTCCTTGGCTCCTGGCACTGGCAAATGCTAGTAAAACTGGCACTAGGAGCAGCTTGTGGGATGTGGGGTTTGGTGTGCTAAGAGGAGGCTGCCTAGTCCACAGGCTGGTGAGGGGTTGTCCACCTAAGGGTAGGGAGAGGGGCCAGGGGACTAAAAATAACTCAATGCCAGGGAGGGTGTATGGGCCAGGGGCTGGGCTTTCCTAGCCCTGGGGCTGTACTGGGAACTGTACAGAAGTTCAGATAGATTGGTCTCCCTAAATATAATCTAAATTAGACTACCTCTGGGGCAGGGTTAACTTAGATCACATCAGTCATTTTTAGACTGGTCTAAATTTCTTGAGCTTCTGTACAGTTCATACTTAGATTGACCTAAGTAGGAATTTAAGTGTAGGGTCCACACTTGGGTGAACTAAGTTAGATTAGGTGATCTTTTTTAACGCAATCTAACTTCCCTGTAACCTTTCCGAACATCTGTATGTAACCTGTGTGGTACAGTCTACTTTCTTTAAAGGCAAAGCAGGTTTTGAGCCCAAGGTATAGTTACAGTTTTTTGGGAAGAGAGATGGTTGATATTCTTCAAAATGAGACAACATCCCAATCCTTGGAATTTAACAAGGGTCTTGTGAGAGCCTTTTCTCATATGTCACTATGGTTATTATGCTGAATTCAAAACCAAAAAACTAAACAGCTGTTTACAAGAAACAAATAGAAGGTAAATTAAGCTGCATAAGCTCTCTCTTAATTACTCTTACCTGATTATAAAATCATTAGTATTGTCAGAGAATTTAAAAATAATTATTTGCAATTAGACGTATACTAAAAAGGCATGTTGTACAATGTATTGTTGCAGCTTGGCAAAGAGAATGAAAAAGCAGAATTAAGGCAGTTAGAATCTCTTCATATATCATTTCCCTTGTCTTGCACCAATCAAACAGTTGTATGATTGATAAATGAGTGAAATCAGACTTACTTGAAAGCTCTTAGTTCCAAATCTGCCCTTTAAAACTTTTAGCACCCAACAGAACAAGAACTGAGCACTATGTAATACAAATAATTATTCATGGTTTAATATGCTACACAGAAACCTATAATTCTTGGCAAACTATGAATTGATGATTATTTGTGAACTTTGTTCTTGTAATTTCTAGGTTAATTTTATTCTGAACGTATTTATGTTTTAACTATTATCTTCCTATTCACTTTAGTAAGGATAGGCCTGACTCCGATTTGTATGTGAATTTTCCATTAACTTCCAACAGCAGCACTTCTACAAAGAATTTTTGGAATAATATGTTTAGCATTGATTTGTGTTATGGAGTAACAGAACAGTAAAATTATGCTTCATGTAACTACAAGTACTGGGATATCTATATTTCTTTAATAATGTCTTAAAATTCCTAAGAAGCAAATGTAGGCCTACATTATATGTAACAAGATGTTTACCTATCATTAGTTTACTACTGTGAAAACATAAAGCACATAGCAAATATCTCTCTTGATTTCAAAAACATCCAATATTCATCTTTCTTAAACTACAGTGGTTCAGTCCTGTGCTACTCTTTCATTACTTGTTTGGGCAGATGTCTTGGGCTAGAAACAATGGACTTTTGCCTTTTGACTTACTATCAGTGAGTAACACTTGAGAATAAAGCACCACAGATACAAAAGCAGATGATTTCTTAAATACCTCGCCCCCTGCCCTGTTGCATATTAACCATAAAACCAGATTTTTCATCTTCCTCTCTTCCATCTCCATCTCCTCTCTCTAACCATTTACTGCTTTAGGGTAGCATAAGCTTGCATTCTGCTTTATTTAAGACTTTCACTTAGCTTGATGTTTCAGCTCTAAGTCCTTACTCAAATTCTTACCCAGACAGAAATTGTACTGGATTTACCTGCTTTTTGTAACCATGCCTTACATCTAATTGGTGTCAAGACCTTGTTCTCATAAGGTACCCATGTTCATAAGAAATATTTTTCCCAGAGCTGTAACCTCTCAGAGTTTTGTTGTTCTCTTGTAAGAGATAAAGGACATGTCAGTGACCACATAGCTATCACAGTTGTAATACCAGAAATTGCAATGTAATTGTCATTTCATTCTATTGATTTTTTTTTTTTAATTTTCCAGGATGCGAATGAGACAAACTGTTGCTTGGAGATAATTAATATCCTAGAAAAGTATTACCTTTCCACCATGTACATCCTTGAGTTCATTTTTGGTATCATTGCAAATAGCATTGTGGTGTTTGGCTACATCTTCTGCCTGAAGAACTGGAAAAGTAGCAACATCTATCTGTTCAATCTGTCCTTATCAGACTTAGCATTTCTTTGCACTCTTCCAATATTGGTGGCAAAATACTCAACGGACACATGGACACCTGGGAACATTTTGTGCCAAAGCAATAGAGTATTGTTGCATGCAAACCTGTACACAAGTATCCTTTTCCTTACCTTTATCAGTATTGATCGATATATCCTTATGAAATATCCATTCAGAGACCATTTTCTGCAGAGGAGAAAAACGGCTGTTTTTATCTCTGTTGCCATCTGGATCTTGGTTATATCTGAACTGTTGCCAATAATCAACTTCATTGGATCTACTGTCAATGACAATAAATGCATTGATTATGCAAGTTCTGGAGTTCCAGAAGATAACTTGATCTACAGTTTGTGCCTGACTGTTTTGGGATTTCTAATCCCTCTGTGTGTCATGTGCTTCTTTTACAGGAAGATGGTTATTTTTCTTAGAAACCATAATGAGCAGCTCAGTGGTTCCCTGCCACTTGAGAGACCTCTTACTTTAGTTGTCATGGCAGTGGTCATTTTTTCGCTGCTCTTTACTCCCTATCATATCATGCGCAATGTCAGGCTTACCTCCCGCATACAATCCTTGAAGCTATCTGAGTGCACACAAAACATCATCAATGTCATTTATATCATCACAAGACCTATTGCATTTTTAAATAGTGCAATTAACCCTGTCTTTTATTTTCTAATGGGTGATCACTTCAGGGAGATGCTGATGAATAAAGTAAGGCACTTCTTAGAAAGAGTGACTATTAACCGAAAATGAGATGATAAAAGTGCACTCTGATGCAGCAACATACAGTGGATTAAAGTGTATTGATGTCTCGGACAATATTTACTGATGTAAAATGAGGTTGTATTTAGCTATATGTATTTAACTGCGTGTAATCTGTTGATTGGACTGTTCTTTGCCAAATGGTTCACAATAGAGCCACTGCGTTCCCATTTTCTCTGCCAAGAGGAGCCAGAGACATTCTTAGTTTCTCTCACTCCACAGGACTGGACTGGGTCAAGTCAGAGGCAGAGCAAGTATAAGTTCTGCATACATGTACTAAGGGCAATTGTTACGATCCACCATGGATGTGATTCCAGAGAATTATAATAATAAATAACTGTAGTTCAACACAAGAGTGTCCAGAGTGTTGTTGCTGAACTCACAACTTATCAAGTCGTATACTCTGGTCCATGGGAGCAAAGGTTGCCAAACCCTGCTGTAATGCAATTACTTACCTAATTAATTATCTTCTCTTAGGTAAGAGCAGAATGTCTAAATTGGAGCAGAATCTGTGGAATTTAGTTAACAACTCTGCTGACAAAGTAGGCCCAGAAGATAATTCAGCCTTCTGTCTAATAGTACTAGAGAGCTAACACAGCTAACAGGAATTTAAAAAAAAACAGAAGAAAGTTACTTTTTAAATTCAGTGGTTTAAAACCTAAATAGAAACCAGAAATAGGAAGGTGTCACTTATAGAGCTCTTTTTCTGAATAGAACCACATTTTATTGAATGGAATCAGAAGTCGGGGGGGGGGGCACTTATTAAATATTCTCTTTAAATAAACTTCTTTATGGGAAAACTAATACCAAAAAAGACTGATATAATCAAGCTATAAAAAGAGAATGTGGAATATATTGTAAGAGAAAAGAAGAAACAACAAGAATAAAAATACTCCATGCTTTATATGTCTTTACAAATGGTTTGAAAATAGATTCATAGATGCTAGGGTCGGAAGGGACCTCAACAGATTATCGAGTCCAACCCCCTGCCTCGGCAGGAAGGAGTGCTGGAGTCAGATGGCTCCATCAAGATGCCTATCCAGCCTTCTCTTAAAGACCCCCAAGGTAGGAGAGAGCACCACCCTTGGAAGCCCATTCTAAATTTTGGCCACCCTTACCATGACAAAGTTTTTCCTGATGTCTAGCCTAAATATGCTCTCTGTCAGTTTGTAACCCTTGTTCTTTGTTACCCCAAGAGGTGCCCTGGTGAACAGAGCAACTGTGATACCTTGCTGCACCCTCCTAATGAATTTGTAGGTGGCCACAAGATCACCTCTCAGCCTTCTCTTGTGGCGGATAAAGAGGTCCAGGTCTCTTAGTCTCTCCTCATAGGGGTTGGCCTGTGAAGCCTTAACCATATGAGTGGCCCTCCTCTGGATCCTCTTGAGGCTATCCACATCCTTCTTAAAATATGGAGCCCAAAACTGGACACAGTACTCCAACAGCAGTCTGACCAATGCCAAGTAGAGGGGAAATATCACCTTCTTGGATCCATTTGTCATGCATCTGCTGATGCATGATAAAGTGCGGTTAGCTTTGCTGATGATTTCGTCACACTGATGACTCATATTCATCTTGGAGTCCGCTCTGACTCCGAGATCCCTTTCCACTTCTGTGCTGCTGAGAGGGTCATTTCCTAGCCAGTAGGTTTGCTGGATATTTTTGCACCCTACATGCAGCACTCTGCATTTGTCCTTGTTGTACTGCATCCTATTGTGTACTGCCCACTTTTCCAACCTGTCCAGGTCAGCCTGCAATTGTTCTCTACACTCTGGAGTGTTCACTTCACCCCACAATTTAGTATCACCTGCAAACTTGGACAGAGTACACTTCACACCTACATCCAAGTCACCAATGAAGACGTTGAAGAGTACAGGTCCAAGGACCGAGCCCTGCGGGACCCCACTACCCACCTTCTTCTGCAGAGTACACTTCACACCTACATCCAAGTCACCAATGAAGACGTTGAAGAGTACAGGTCCAAGGACCGAGCCCTGCGGGACCCCACTACCCACCTTCTTCTGGGTCAATACTGACCCATCTACTACCACTCTCTGGGTGCAACCCCCAAGCCAATTTGCCATCCACCAGACTGTATAAACATCTTAGTCACAGCCTCTTAATTTATTTATGAGAATGGGATGAGATACCGTATTGAAGGCCTTCTTAAAATCCAGGAAAATGACATCCACCTCTACTCCTGCATCTAAGCATTTTGTGACCTGGTCATAAAATGAAACCAGATTAATCAGGCATAATCTACCTGATACAAATCCATGCTGGTTGCCCTGCTGCATTATGTTTCCCAGCAGACTCCCACAAATATGATCCTTAATAACCTTTTCAAAGACTTTTCCAAGGATGGAGGTGACACTGACTGGCTTATAATTACTTGGGTCCTCCTTCCTCCCCTTCTTGAAAATAGGGACCACATTGGCCCTTTTCCAGTCCTCCAGGACCTGACCTGAGTGCCACAAGCACTCAAACAGCCATCCCAGTGGTTCTGCTATGATACTCTCATATGTAGCTCATCCGGGTCTGCCGACTTAAACACATCCAGTCCATCCAAGTGACGCTGCACCAAATCAGCATCAACAGTTGGCTGGTGTCCCTCTGATGACCATCTAAGAACCCATTAGGAGATTTATCTTGACCCTTGTTCAAGAACACTGAGGCAAAAAACTCATTGAAGAGCTCAGCCTTGTCCCCCCTGGATGTCACTAATTGCTCCTGCTTGTTCAGTAGGGGTCCTATGTTGCCCTGCATCTTCCTTTTACTCCCTACATAACTTAAAAAGACTCTTTGTTGTCTTTAATTTGTGTTTCCAGCCTCAGCTCTGTAGTTCCTTTGGTCTTTCTGACTGCCTCCTTGCAAGTGCGGGTCAAGTAGTTATATTCCTCCTTGGTAGCTTCCCCCTGCTTCCACCACCTATATGCCTCCTTTTTTGCCCTTAGACTCCCCTTGATTTCTCTGTTTAGCCAAGGAAGTTTTTTGGCCCCTTTTCTCCATTTCCCTTACACTGGGATCATCTCCCTCTGTGCCCAAAAGATCACTTCCCTTAGGAACGACCACTCTTTCTGGACTCCCATCTTGCCAATACTTCTATCCTGCAGTGCATCATTGACTAAGCTCCTGAGCCCACTGAAGTTAGCCTTCCTAAAGTCAGGCACTTCCAGCCATACTAGTTATCTTACCCACTCTATGCCATATGGTGAATTCGATTGATTGGTGGTCACTGTCGCCAAGGTGGCCACGAATCTGTAGCCCCACTAAATGTGTTAGTGTACATACATGCTTTATATTCCTGTATTTTCACTGCATTAAATCTGAGTGGGTAACATTCAATAGCTCCTCCATGTTTCAGGTATACTGGAACAAATAAAGAATGTCTAGTTATTGTAATAGTTCCATCAGTACACAAGCCTATGAAGACAGGTCCACAGAGTGATGGCTCCATGAAGTTTTCAGGGCCCTCACTGACAGGGATGTGGAGTTAGGAAAGGATAGCAGGAGACACTGAGAGGGGTCAAAAGGAACACTACAACTGAAGTATGGACTGGGAGCAGAAAGCCATTGACTAGTTTCTATTGTTTGTAGTTATGAGCAGGTAGAGGTATGTCATAAGCAAAGAGGGAGTTGAATGTAATTTCATGGGGGTTTGTTCACATAGGCCTGAGGGAGCTCATGACCAGTGCTGTAGTCATATAGTCTGATAGGAAACCAAAAGAGGTTGATGTATTTCACAAGTATGATGCCTATATGTGACTTGATAACTGTTCAAGATATAATTGAAAAATGGTGTGTGTCTCATTAGGACTAGACATTAATTATGTGAAATATATGGTGGAAAATTAGTTTTATATCTGATGTGAGAGGCAAGAATTTCTTAAGGTATTATCTTTTGTTGGATCAAGTATGTATTTGGGATAAAGTTAGACAAACTTTCAAATGTAAGACATTCTTCCTCAGGTCCCTGATCACAGGGACCCTGATGATAAACCAGACAGTTGGTAAATACCGAAAACCTACTTAGAAGTTCTGCTTCCAATATGCTGGTTCTTACAGCTTCTGTTAACACAGAAGGTTTAGCATTTTCTGACTTCACTGTTAAATCCTGTAAATAAATCAAACTCTGTTGAACCAAAATAATCAAATTAGTTAATATGAAACGCTGAGACAAAATTAGGGCTCTTCTTCCATGGATAGACGCATTTGACTATCTTGGACTACTATTTCAACTTGTAAAAGACATGTGTCAGTGCTAATGTCAGCAATAGATGTGGCCTAAGTGTGGCTGGTGAACTCAGACTAGTGGGGTGGGTGGAGCTGCACATGGGAACGGGGGTGGGTGGTTTGCAGCCAGCCAGGAGCGGTGGGGGGCAGTTTGCAGCCTCCTCATTCCTGGCCAGAGTATTCGGCCATCTGCAAACCCCACACCCCAACCCTCCTGGCCAGCTGCAAAACCTTGCCTCCCCGACCCCCACCCCCCGCACTCCTGTGTGCTGCTCCACCTGCCCCACCAGTCTGAGTTCACCAGCCGCACCTGATCTGGCCTTTGATGCTCTGTTAAGCAGAAGAGCAGTGAAAAGCTGATAAATCATTATTTAGTGATATACATCATTGAGGGCACAGACAGGAGAACAGCTCCCTGCTGTAATTTATGGTGCTTTGCAGGAAGAGCCCTGAGTTACAGCCATCCCCCAGACTCAATAGTTGTTCACGGTTGGGTCCTCGGGGTTCGGGGATCCAGCTACAATTTGGAGCAGCTACAAGACTGTAGCCACTCTCCCCTGGACTCACCTCTCCCCCTGCCCAGCCCTAGTGCTTTTTTTCAGAATGGGAGTGGGGAAGGGAGCAGAGGGAGTTTCATCTGGGTTTTTTTCAACCAGCACTGGAGGGTGGGGCAGATGAATTGGAGCTCCAATCCAGCCACCCCACCCTTCATTGTGGTTTAAAAAACCCTAGACAGAACTCCCTTTACTCCCTTCCAT